GCCTCACACGGGCTAGGTGAGCGCTCTACCTTTGAGCCACAACCCCAGCCCCACTTTTTTTATTTTTAATATCAGTGAGAAACACATGTTCATGTCTTGCACAGTGACAGCATCATTCAGTGGAGTGATTGACTTTCTGCTGCACTTGGAGGTATTGTGACCTGCTCCTGTTATGAGCATGCTTCTTGTGTTTCTATGAGCTAAAGAAAAATGTTTTTCTTATTTTGTGGTCTTACTTTGTATTTTAATAGCACTTAGTCTCCCCATCCCTCTTATAAACCACTACCAGCCTAGTAATCCTACAATACAGGTCTGTACAAAGAGCTGAATATTGATCATTTTTATGTCATTCAGAAATTCCTGGTAGCTTTCCCTTGTTCTGTCACAGTTGTTTCACTATATATAGTCTTCACTCTATTTAGAGTTTGACTTGCACGTTTGTAGATCTCAAAGGTATCAAGATTTGAGCACTTACTAGGTTCCAGACTCTGAGCAGTTTCTTTTGTTTGTTTATTTATTTTTAAGTTGTAGTTTCACACAATACCTTAATTTTACTTATTTATTTTTATGTGGTGTTGAGATTTCAACCCAGGGCCTTGCATGGGATACCTCTGAGCCACAATCCCAGCCCCTCTGAGCAGGTTCTTTACTTGCATTACCTTCTTTAATTCTTAGAGCTGCTTCCTGAGGATAGGTGTAGATTGCAAACTCCATGAAAGCAGGGACTGTTGCCGAAGGACTGTGTCCAGCTAGTTCCTCGCCCATGAGAGAGATTCAAGTGTTTGCACATGAGAGGAAGAATTCCTATTTTGCTGTTGGGGGAACAGGCTCAAAAGGTTAAGCAAAAAGTCATTTCTCTTCTCTGTCACCTTATACTGTCTTCCTAGATGAAGTCTGACAAATATGACTTATTAACCTGTCTTTCCATTTTACCTTCCATTTCTCAGGCTCTCTATTTAATTCATTTGTCCCTTGTGTTTTCTTACCTATGTACCTTATCTTGTGCTTTTTTGTACTTTTTTTTTGCTTTTCATTTTTCAAATTCTAGGTTTTTTGTTTTTTGTTTTTTTTTTTTAATATTTATCCAGGCCCTCAGTTACAACTAAGCTATATCCCCAACCTCAAAGTCCATTTTAAATTCTAGTCCCTCAGTGAAACTTTTTCTGAACAATATACTTTTCTCCGGCTACTATGGTATTTCATGTCCATATGAGTCCTTTGAGGTGTCCATTATTGCCTCAGGTGTTATCTTTTCAGAGATGGGACACAAGTGAATTCTCCATCATAGGACTTTGATAGGATTGAAACTGTTTCCTAAGTGTACTTATAGAATGTGAGTGACACATTCATTTACTTAGTAGTGCCACAGCAGCTTGCCCCAAATGAGAAAACAGTTGGGTTTTCCTGTCAGTGTCTTTAATAGAATTGCAGCATGGACAGAACTTGCTGTGTCTAACTTGCCTTTCTTGCCTGTCTCTTATATTTCAGTTATTCCTTTTCTCTTCCTGTATCCAGCCCACTTACTTACCCAGTCCTGTGTCCCTTCTGCCATCCTGTCTCTGATGCAAAGCTTTGTGGCCTTGTGCCTTGTCAGCCTTCTTCTCATCAACCAGTGCTTTCACAGAGTTGTACTTTCAGAAATGATTTTTTTTTTTTTTTTGTCTATGGGAAAGGAGGGCTGTCTTGACCATCCTTCTCCTTAAATTCAGGTTTTATATTTCATTAGTTTTTTTTTTGTTGTTGTTGTTTGTTTGTTTTTAATGTGGTGCTGAGGATTGAACACAGGGCCTTATGCATGCTAGACAAGCACTCTACCAGTTGAGCTATACCCCCAGCCCTCATTAGATTTTTTTAAAACTACAAAAGTAACCCCTTCTTATTGTGGTAAGTAATTTAGTCATGTAAAAAGTTACTCCTACTTCCATCCTAACTTTGTGAGGTAACTGACATTAACAGGTTGGTATTAGCCTAACACATCTTTCTGAATGACTTATTGGTCATTTATATATCTTTAGAGAAATATCTATTCAAATTCTTTGCTAAGTTATTTTAATTTAATTTTTTAATACTTTGCCCAGGCTGGCCTTGAACTTGTGGGCTCCAGTTATCCTATCTCAGTCTTCTGAGTAGCTGGAACTGGGGGCCCAACTTTTCCACTGTGCCAGGCTCCTTTGGTAATTTAAATTTCACTTTGTATATCTTTTTTTTCTTTTTGGTACTGGGGATTGAACCCAGGGCCACTTTACCAAGACCTATATCCCCAGTTCTCTTTATTTTTTATTTTGAGACAGGGTCTTGCTAAATTGCTTAGGGCCTTATTAAGTTGCTAAGTCTGGCCTTGAACTTGCAATTTGTGATCCTTCAGTCCTAGCCTCCCAAGTTACTAGAATTACAGGCATGGGCCAGAGTGCCCAGCTCTGCTTCATTCTTTTGCATGTAAATATTTGGTTGTCCATTGTTGTTTATTGAAAAAATTTTCATTGAATTGCTTGCCTTATTGCTCTTTTCAAAAATTAATTGACATTAAAGGTACAGTTTTATATCTGGATTCTGAATTCTGTTCCCTTGATATATGTATTTATCCTTCTGCCACTATCACACACTGTTGATTACTGTAGCTTCAGTAGTAAGTTTTTAGAATCTTTTGGTAATATTTGCTTATTTAGGTATTTACGTGGTGCTGGGGATCGAACCCAGGGCCTCAAATGATAGGCAAGTGCTTTACCAAATAGCTATCACTCCAGCCCTGTTTTGGTAATTTTTTTCTCCCCAGTACTGGGGATTGAACCCAGGTCTGTTCCACTTCTGAACTACATCCCAATCCCCCCCTGCCTTTTATTTAATTTTTAATTTTGAGCAAGGGTCTCAGTAAGTTGGTGATGCTGGCCTCAAACTTGGGCTCTTCCTGACTCAGTGTTCTGAGTAGTTGGAATTACAGACAGGTGCCACATACCTAGCGTTTTGCAATAATTTTTTTGTGTGTGAAATCAGTTTTGAATTTTAGAAGGGTGGGATACTTTTTCTGGTTTCATAGCTCTAGAGCTCCCTCTTCTGTTGCGTTTATGAAATGTGTTCAAAATAGTGTATGATTTCTGAGATCTGGCTGTTTCTTCTGATATTTTGGGAATTTTTTTCCCTCTACTTCTGGTGTGCTTTCCATACAACCCCTTCTGACAATCAAAAAAAAAATTTTTTTTGAGGGGGGGGATACTGGGGATAAAACTTAGGAATATTCTCCCTCTGAGCTACATCCCCAGTCCTTTTTTATATTGAAATAGGGTCTTGCTAAGTTGCTGAGGCTGGCCTTGAACTTGCAGTCCTCCTGCCTCAGCTTCCTGAGCAGTTGGAATTATAGGGTATGCATCACTGTGCCTGGTCCTTTTGACAGTTTTTAGCAAGAGATAATGCATTTATTTATGGTCCATTGATGGTTGAGTAAAGTGAAAATCTTTCCCCCATCCTTATCCATTAAGTTTCAAGAAACACTTTCCTGGGGCTGGGGATGTGGCTCAAGCGGTAGTGTGCTTGCCTGGCATGCGCGCGGCGCTGGGTTCGATCCTCAGCACCACATACAAATAAAATAAAGATGTTGTGTCCACTGAAAACTAAAAAAATAAATAATAAAAAAAAATTAAAAAAAAAAAAAAAATCATTTCCTATTCTTTAAAAAAAAAAAAAAAGAAAGAAACACCTTCCTTCTGGGCGTGCTGGCGTACACCTGTAATCCCAGTGGCTTGGGAAGGTGAGGTAGGAGGATTGCAAGTTCAAAGCCAGTCTCAGCATCTTAAACAACTCAGAGACCCTGTCTCTAAATAAAATATAAAAAAAATAAAAAAGGGCTGGGGATAGGGCTAAGTGGTTAAGTGCCCTAGGTTCAATCCCTGATACTAAAAAAAAAAAAAAAAAAAGGAAAAAAAAAATTTTTTTAAGAAAAAATAAATTATAAAAAAAAAAGAAAAAAATTGTTTTTTTTTTTTTCCAAAATATGTTTAATTTAATTTATTTTTAAAAAATTTCCTTGGGCTGAGGATGGAATTCAGGGCCTTGTACGTGCTAGTAGGCAAGAGTGCTACTATTAGGAACATCCTTAGCCCTAAAATCACCTTCTCCCCATACTGGGGATTGAACTCATGGGCACTCTATCACAGAGCTACACCCCCATCTTTATTTGTTTATTTATTTATTGAAAGGATCTCACTAAGTTGCTGAGGCTGTATTTATTGATTGAAAGGATCTCACTAAGTTGCTGAGGCTGGCCTCAAATTTGTGATCCTCTTGTCTCAGCTTCCTGAGTTGCTGGAATTACAGGCATGTGCCATTGCACCTTGCTAATTATACTCTTAAGAATAAATGCATACTTAAAATGTTCTTGAGCTTGGTTCTGTTTAATTAGTATAACAAGTGAACTTTTAAAATAGGGCTCATATGTCAGGTGAAGAGTACTGTTACTGCTTTTTCAAAACATTCTTGGATTGGGAATGTAGCTGAGTTTTAGAGCACTTGCCTAGCACGTGGGAGGCCCCATAAATAAATAAATAAATACTTACGACTTCTTGAGGTAATTTAGGGAATGGACTTTTCTCCCTTTTTGGTATGTTTTTCGGGGCAGGGGGCAACTTTGCTTGATAGAAAGATTTTCTGTATGATTTGGGTAAAGAATCAGGGCCAGCTGTGGGCAATTTTGTCAAGATCATCCCTTGTCTCCTGGAGACCTATCTAATATTTTCAGTCACACTTTTTGTATAATTATTAACCCCATTATTGTATTCTATGTTTAAATAAACTTTATGCAGGGAGGTTATCCTGGTTGTATGTTCCCAACTCCCAACTGTCCTTAGACCTCTTGCCCCTGGTTACACTGTTTCAGATTACATGTCTTTTAGGAACTCTGATAACTTTGTATCTTCTCTGTCATTTAGCATGTATGCTCAAAAAACTCTTTCCAGATAATGGACCAGTTGTCTGAGGTTTTTGGGGGATTTGTGTTTTATTTCTTCCAGGGGAGCCAGGAAGTGGGACAGAAAGTGATACTTCTCCAGACTTCCACAATCAGGAAAATGAGCCCAGCCAGGAGGACCCTGAGGATCTGGATGGATCTGTGCAGGGAGTGAAACCTCAGAAGGCTGCTTCTTCTACTTCCTCAGGGAGTCATCACAGCAGCCATAAAAAACGGAAGAATAAAAACCGGCACAGGTCAGTGACAGGGACTCCATTCCCAAAGCTTCCGTGTACTTTCCTAGAGTAAAACACTATAGGATTGTTTCAGAGCCTTCTACTGTGGATGGGCAAAAATTCCTTTGGGCCAAATGAAATGGGCTAGTGTTCTCTCTCAGGGAGGACTTGGGTGGGTATCAGAGTAACCCTGTATGATTCGGGTCAAGGGTCAGGGCCAGCTGTGGGCAATTTTGCCAAGATGGACTCCAGGGCATCCTTTCCACTATTGCTAGTGCAAAGTGTTATTCTCTGAAAATCTTGTTTAATATGGTAAATTTGGAATCCTGTGAGAAGAGAAAATGGGGAAATAGAAATGGAATCTATGTAATGTAGTTTGAAACATGACACTAGGAAGTTTTGCAAAGCTGCAAAGTTAGAGGCTTTTCATTCTGATTCCTGCCTTATGAGAACCGATGTGACTCGTCTTTTTTCTATTCTAATTACAAATTTTTTTGATTGCTTATGGTTTTTCTGTTTTGGTATTTCTCTGCAATATGCTAACTTCAGATATTGGAAAACAATATAAAGCCTATAAAATATGACAGTGCCTTCCTAGAGAACATTTGTCCACCATGTTTTTTGCAGTACATAATGAGTTAGGCCTGACATCAGTGGACAGAGAGGATTTTTAGCTTTTCTGTCTTCCAGAGAGGATTTTTAGCTTTCACTCTCTCTGGGGTATTTACACAGCTTCATTAAGAGAGGGTAATAAATAGTTTCTACAGTGAGGAATCTTGTCCTGGCCTCATACCTTCTGAGAGGCATGGAAACTGGATTTGCATTGACTGGCTTTGTCCTACTGTCCTTGGAGGCCTGCATGCAGAAAAGGTGAAAGGGGCATGCAAGGGTTGGGTGGGGTTCCTTGTCCTCCAATTGGCTTCGATATTGTGTTATTTTAGAAACCTGTAGGATATTCCTTCATGCACCCACGGTATTAAAACTGTTGGCTTTATGGATATGGATGGGGATATGTAGAATTTATTCTCACTGGTTTGAACCTCTTTGGCATTAGCTGATTCTTTAATTCACTTAAGAATGTTTTTTGTTGTTGATGGTAATGGTGAAATAGTATTTCCTGCAAATAGTGACAAAGGACTGCTGCTTAACATTTTTCTGCAAACCAGAAGTCACCATGCCAGCCTTAAAACTGTAGTAGGAAATAGCAAAATTTGCTTTCGCTTTTTTTTTGGGCTATGGATTATTTGACCACCGTGATGGTATTGGTGCTGGCTTCTAAACAGCAGATACTTATACTCTTAAAAAATTCATTAATTTATTTTTTGTTGTTGGGATCAAACACAGGACCTCATGCTTGCTAGGCAAGCACTGTTACACTCCCCTAGCCCATTAAAGAAATATTTTTAAATTGTCAAGATAATTAAATATTATGCTTTATGATGCTTTTATTTAATTTACTCCAGTGGGCTTTTTTTTTTTTTTCTTAAATGTGTGTGTGTATGTGTGGTACTAGGGTCCAGTGTCATTTTAAAATAATTCTTTTCCTATTTCAGAGTCTAGAGTAGGGACAATATTCTTGAAAAAAAAGTCTGTGACTTTTTCCATTACTGATAAGTTTACTCTCTAGACAGCTATTTATTTCGGGTAATACTTCATTTTCATTAATGACCCGACCATTAGTGACTGAAGATTGATAAAAGGGAATTGGAGAGGCATGAAACCTAATTAATTTTCTTCTTGAAGTTTTCTAGTAAATTTCCATAGGATCTATATTTCTTGCTTATTCTTTCCTCTGCTGGCCTAGGAACTAATTTCTCCCAGAAAAACACTAGCATTTATAAAGATTTTTGTGTTAGTTATTGCTTTCATCAATGATGTCTCCAGTTCAGACAGCAGGGTCCTAATTTTTATTGCTTTCCCTGTCTTTCCTTTCTCCTTAAGGGCTTATCTGCCTGAATGAAGGGGGGACCTGATTTGCTTTCTTTCTTGGGAAACCAGGTTCAGGACACCTTAGTAGCACCTTAGGGGCCAGTTAAGATGCTTGGGTTCCTGCCATCTTTAGTGAGGAGTTGTATCTGGCTCAAATCCCTTGCCCCTGGTGGATGGCTTAGTGGTGCTGACCGATCAGGGTGAAGATGGAGTAGGTCATCTAGGCATATTGGTAGGTCAGCACCCAGTACATAGTTGTTTCTCCTCCAAGGTGCTGATAGTAGACTATTTTAAGAAATGTTTGAGTATACTATATGCGAGGTACTGTCTAGTGGTGAATTAAGATGGTACTTTAGCAGAAGGAAATAACTTGAATTTGCCCTCTTCTGGAATATGAAAATTTATCAGTTTTTCAACATTCATAAATGATCAAATGAATGCTTACATTTGTATGTTATCTGAACAATAATTAAGTCCTAGTGTCTTTAAAGAAAAAATTGAAAGAATAACTCACAGCTGTTAGAGTTTTACTACTATAGCAAGCCCAAGTTTAACCAAGATTAACCAAGTACACTCTTATTTATATATTTATTTCCAGTGCTAGGGATTGAACATGTTAAGCACATACTCTACCAATGAGCTACACCCTGTTTTTTAATTGTCTTTTTTTTTGGCGGTGGGTACTGGGGATTGAACTCAGGAGCACTCAACCACTGAGCCACATCTCCAGCTCTATTTTGTATTTTATTTAGAGACAGGGTCTCACTGAGTTGCTTTAATACCTTGCTAAATTGCTGAGGCTGGCTTTGAACTCACGATCCTCCTGCTTCTGGCTCCTGAGGCTCTGGGATTATAGGCTTGCGCCACCGCACCTGGCTTGTCTTATTTTTTTATTGTCTATTTTAGTGATGAACAAAATTAAAGTCAGGCTGAAAGTAAAATGTTTTTTAATTCCTGGTTTGTACACTGTATGCTTTCCCAAATGTCATAAATGAAACTATTGCATAAGGGATATGGCAGTTAAACTTCCAATTTCACTCTTGTAAACATGGTCTAGGAGGAAAGCTCTTTGCATATTGTTTTTGCCCCTTTTCTACAGTGTGAAAGGCACTGGAGTCAGCTGTGGAGCTGGTGTCGTGCTCCAAGTTGATGTTTGCTTTGGGGCTCTGCCCGGACCATCATCTGTTATAGCAGTGATGGCACAGAATGGCCTCCTCTCTACTGCTCCCTTCCAGATCCTTGAGGCTGGGGTGCTTATGGATGCCACCTTTCCTTTGTTTTAAAAAGTGTTCTAAAAAAAGGGGGGGGTGTTCTGCAGACTTTGGTGTTAAATGTCACCTTGATATAAACAATTAATTGTCATCACCATCTTATGGGGCCGAATAGTGTTTTACTCTTCAGTTTCTGGAACAAGACTCAACCCTACAGCATGTTCATTCAACCCCTGACTTCTAGGATGAATGCTGTAGCAATGGAGCACCAGCTTCCTGGACACATTTAGAACATAAAACTTGAGTACAAGTTGCAAAATGTTTTCCTTTTTTTAAAGTTTAAAATGTTTTTGTCATCTTACTTTAGTGAAAGCCTATTATGCTGAGTTTTACAAGCACCTTTCATTATATGACTAAACCTTTCTTTCTCTGTTTCTTCTAATGCCCTAATTATATTTTATGATACAAATATTTTGAAAGTTCTAACTCTGAATCTGGCAGCTAATAAAAAGGCTCCAGGTGTCTGTAGTTTTCTAATGATATAACTTTTTCTTTCATAGTCTATTCTTTTGCTGTGGAATCCGTTGAGGGAAGGGATTCTTCTGACCACAGAATCTTTGGTGCTTTCATGTTTAAAACTTACGGCTTAAGATCTTAAAGCTGGTTTTGTTTCTATAAATCTTGCTAGGGTGGCTAATCGACTAATTTATTCAATTAGTGTATTAATTTCTATTGCTTTCTTCCTTTCAAATGCTGCCCCTCAGCCCGTCTGGCATGTTTGATTATGACTTTGAGTAAGTTTGATTTGAATTAGTATTTGTGCTGTGTTTTTTAGTGTGTAGACACCAGTATGCCTTTTTGAGACCTTTCTAACCCATAGTTTATCTGTTTAATTGTAGGTATGTATATTAGGTTAGGCTGGGAAGTTTTTTTTAAAAACAGAAAAACGTGATGGAGGTAACATTTTATTTAATAACTTAAGCAAAATTAAGTAAACTTCACTTTTATGCATTTTAATTTCTTTTTAAATAGATAACCTTTAATTTATATTTAAATTGATTTTCTGGCTTTGCTTCATAAGGAGATTAATAGTTAAAGATTTTGATATTTTGCTTTGGAAAGATTTAAAAATTGAAATTCATGTAATTTCTTTTGTGTTTCATGTCCAGAAATACAAACTCCTAGTCTCTCTTCTATTCTTAATCACCACATGTCTCAGTAATTTTCAGTGATATAGTTATAAAGCTAACATATTAACATAGAGCATGCCTTCTTAATCCAATCTCTTTAACATGTAACTTTGGAATATTTTTAAAAGATTAAATGACTTTTGCAACTGCTGTATATTTCTTTTTAAATTATCCAAGTTTACCTTATGGCAAAAGTATCTGCTCATATTTTTTAATACTTGCTTAATAATATCTGGGTAAACAACTAAATATGACATAGTCTAATGAAGAATGTGGATTTTACTTAACCAAATAGCCTTTGTTATAGCTTATGCCCTATGCAATAGCTAATTGTTGGACCCTTTTTCTGTAAATTAAAATGCAAATATCTTTTATCTTTCCTATCACAGAATTGATCTGAAGTTAAACAAAAAACCACGAGCTGTAAGTATCAGCCAGACTACTTCAGAAAGGCTGGAAATTTTGTAGATGATTAGGAAAATGTATCATCTTCAGAGTCTGAGTGTCTCTAATCTGGGTCACACTCTAATTTTAAAGTCTGGGATGTCCATTTGTATATACTGCAACTTTTAGATAATATTTGCTTTATTTTGGAGAAAGAGCAGTTGCGCATATTTTTACTGAAGAAAAATTCCCTCTGATTAAATAACAAGTTGTTGATACTAACTCCTTTTTTTGGGGAGGGCTGGTGAGTTTAGGTCTAGCAAGAGCAGAGTTGATGTTTCAGTTGATTTTCCTTATAGACTCAGAAGACAGGCCATTTTCCGTTGTGAAATGTTCTACATTACATTTGAGATATCTTGGAGTATAGAACAATCCCCTAGCACAGTTGTTTGTGAGATTTTTTTTTTTTTTTTTCTCTAGATTGAAATGAGTGTTTTGTTGAGTAAGTTGAGATTTTTCTTTCTTTCTCTTTAGGACTATTAGAAGACTCATTAGTGCAGAAGCCTCCAGGCTGTAGAGCTCTGCTTCCCTTCTCCGACCTCATACAGATAAAGATAAACATCCCTCACCTGAGTGCGTGGCCATCCACCTCTGCTCTCCCAGACCCAGTGCCTGTGACTCTGAGTAGTTTGTTCTAAATGTTGTGACAAACAAGTCATTTCTGTAAGACATCGGATCATTTGCTTTGTGTCATTTTTAGTAACAGAGCTGCAAGAAGACCAAGACATGGTTATAATCGCAGCAAGTTGTTAACTGTGCATTTCTCCCTTCTTAGAATGAACATTTTTCCCCAAACTGGCTGCTGCCAGCCACATCCGTGATCCCTGTTGAGAAATATTCTCTGGTTTTCTTTTATGCTAAGTAGAACACAAGTCACAATGATGTAGGCTGTAAATATCTGGCATTCTTTTACTTTGTTGTGTTTTATTTTCTGTTGTTATTTTACCATCTCATTTGCTTTGGGGACTTTTTGTAATGCCTTTGTACAGCTCATACCTTCCTGCCAACATATCTGGTAATCTATTTCATGCAGTTGCCAATATTCCAACTGAAAATAATGTGGCTTACCATAGTAAAATGGGAAACTTGGCTCTTTGTTTTCTTGCAGGAGGAAGGTAAAGAGTGTTTATTTAAAAATTATCTATCTTAAATCTTTGAGTTGAAAGCAGTTTCATGTTCAAGGAACAGGAAAAGCGGAAAAACACAAGTTAAAATCAGTTCTTTTAAAATAGATATTTTTATTCTTTTGTATAAATAAAATTTCACAGGCTTTGACTTCTCATGCTTTACTTTTAAACCTGAGATTGTTTTTTTACTTATTTATTCATATCATGCCTTATTGGAAATTTCTTTTTTCCCATCTTTTTGTTAGTAATCACCTGATTAAATATTGCTGTAAAAATCACCAAGGGAATGGAAAGTCTCAAAATTCCACCAGAAGCTGATAATGTAAGGTTCTTGAGCGGAGTGAAAGGTAGCATCAGCAGAGCCAGCACTGCCCCAGGGACATTGTCCTTGCAGGGGTCAGTAGGCAGAGGAACTTGCTGATGATTGTGCTTGATTCAGTGCAGTGGTCACCTACTTTGGCAGCAGATTGTAATCACCTAGGAACCCTAAAAATGCTGATGTCTGGGCCCCACTCCCAGAGACCCTAGGGTCCATACAGCCTGCTTACTAGGATTTCTTTCAAAGGGTCCTGGTGATGCTGATAAGAAGCCATGTGGAGAGCCACTGCATTAGGAAACTGAATACTTTGATTAAGTGTTATGCTGTGAATCATTCTAAGATTTGGGCCTTGCCTTTCCGTGACTCTATTTAGTCATAGTCCTTTATGTATGCCCATCTCTTTGTAAGAAGAAATATGTTCATTGTGATCTCAGTGGAGCTGAATATGGATGGCATCTGTTATCAGAACAAAGCTGCCTTTTCAGGTGTGCAAAAGCTTTCACTTTTGTTCTCAAATAAACTTTTTTTTTTTTCCTCTGTGATGATTTAGACATCTTTGGCTATGTCTTTGGCAACAGAACTCCAATGTTGCAATGTTTTAAGGAAATAGTTTCTTAGATTGTTCCTTTAAAACAAAAACCTTGAAGTATTCTGTGTCCTTCTTTGTCAGTTCATCTCCTTTTCCAAGAGGGAAGAGTGGGATTTCCTGGACTTTCCTTACCTCTGAGGAAAGTGCTGAGCTGACTTTAAAATATCTCTGACACTCAGAGTTTGGCATTTGCTAGAGATGCAGTAGTATTGTTGTTTAAAAGGTATGTTATTTATTTTGTTCTATTTATTTTTACAATGCTTGGGGTAGAACCAGGGCCTCAAGCACATTTTACTGCTGAGCTACACTCCCAGCCCTTCTAAAGATATTGTTTAAAAGATATCTATGCCAGGTATGGTGATACACACCTATAATCCCAGTAACTCATGAGGCTAAGGCATGGGGATCACAAGTTCAAGGCTAGCCTCAGGAATTTAGGGAGGATCTGAACAACTTAGGGAAATCCTATTGCAAATTTTTAAAAAATTAAAAGGACTTGGGGATATAGCTCAGTGCTAAAGTGCCCCTGGGTTCAATCCCCAGTACCAATAAAAAATAAAAGTGTATCTATGTGATTACACCTGTGTGTATATAAAAATCATGATTATGGGCAGGCTACTGGCTTTATAGCTATATAAAGTTTAACCACTGATTAGCAGACCTTTCAGTTTTCTTGTAAGTTGGCCAGGGAGGGATACTGGTCTGAGAGATTACTTAGTTTCCCTACATGGGGATATTTTAGAAAAAAGCACCAAGGGGTGCACCATTGTGCTTGTAATACTTAACTTTGGTTATTAGTTAGATTGCTTGTGAGTGAATGTGCCAACCTGAAGAGACATTACTGTCAGTGGATGGATAACATTGGTAGCATGTGGAAGGCTCTAGGTTCAGCACGGAAGAAAAAAGCAAGTCCACTGGGTGGCCTGTGTTCTCCCACTTTAGCCCTGCTGCAGCCTCTTAACTGGACCTTCTGTGAGGACCACTGAGAAGATGCTTCCTCCCAGGCCTGCCCTCACTGGCTCAGTTTTTTAAAAAAATATTTTTAGTTGTATAAGAATGCAGTCCCTTTATTTTTATGCGGCGCTGGGGTTGAACTCAGTGCCTTACATGTGCTAGACAAGTGCTCCCAGCCCTCAGTTGGGTTTTGAGTAGTGCTTTGCTACACATTATAGGTTACTGAACAAATTGGTTTAAAGAACTGGAGCTGATTGAGGAAGCTGTGTCCTGGAATATGTCCTTCCTTCTTCCCTTTTTTCCTATTCCAGAGGGACTAAAGTGGGAATGGGAAGACTGAGGGGGCCGTACATGTTTGTTTCTGCCATCTGGGTACACTTTCTGTTCTTTACATTTCTCTTAAACGTGGGAATAGGTTTTCCTTTGCTCCTCTTAGTAGATAGGACATTAGAATAAAAAGTCAAGGCCCTTGTAACATTTTTGTCTCCTACTAGGAGCATAGTGCCAGCGCAGAGTTTCCTGGGAGTCTCAGGTGAACTCGGCCCCTCTGAGGACTGGGAAAATGGTTCATTCTATTTAAATGTAGAATGTTTGAAACCCATCATACCGAACAAGTTGAAGTTGGAGAGCAGGAGTAAACCACAGAGTAGAAGCCTGGAAGCCATTTGGGGCCTAGGGGAGGGCTATGGGCAAGGCCAGTGGGAACCGATAGAGCAGGGCCTTCAAAGCTGCTGTGGTGATCTGGAGAGGCCATATATCTTAGGGGCCTTGGAACACAGAAAGAAATTGATCAGTCATGACATGGGTCAAACATTTTCCCCACAAATGAGTTCATACTATTTGCTTAGAAGATCCTTTGTTCTGTAAGAGAAGGAAGCAGTATTTCTGCCTCCACACTTGAGCCCTTGGTTTCTGGATACTGTAAGTACTCTAAATATCCTGTGAAGAGTGAGCTTGACATCTTGACCCATGCAGTAAATAAGAGCATTGAAATGAGTGTTAAATAGCCTACACTTGCTTGCAAGTGGTTACATGTATTGTTTTGAAATACCGTTTTTCATTGCATAATCATCACAGATTTTATGCCAAAAAATTTTTTTTAAAGTGGGATGCAACTTCATATGAAGCCCCTCTCTCTTTTAAAAAAGAAGTCATGCTCGTATTAACTTAAAAATTATTTATTACTAAACTATCTTTGGTGTAAGATTAGAATGCATGGGATACTTGTGAATATATGTTACTGCATCAGTGATGATTATGTGGTGAAATACAGCACTCCTTGTTTTTGTATTCTGACTTTTCTGTCCCTCAGCCTTCTCCGGATTTCTGAAGCAAAGTCACATCTGAAGTCCTGACTCCATGCTGTTCGGGTAGGAGAAAGTACAGGACTGTGTTTTGTGCACCTTTACTACTCCAGGGTGGTGTATTCAGTGCTTAGGAAGGTGATACAGTGGTGATGGGAAGGGATTGGAATTTTCATTCTATGACACTCTAAACGAGTATTATCATGTCTGAATCTTTTAAGTGGTAAACTTCATATTTCAAACAGTTTTCTGGAGTAAAAATTGTCATTACTGGTAGGGCTGTGTGTAGTTGGTGTTGATCCTCAGGGTAGTGGTCTCCAAGGGAGAGGGTATGGAGGATGGCTGGGGGGTGTGGGAAGGAAAGATTAGGACTTTGATATGTGCTTCACTTTTGAGATCAGCATTATGTAGTTCTTCACTTTGAATGTGTTATATAATATGAGTAAATATTAGCTCGTTACTACATGTAGATAATTTATAAATAAATATTAGGTTGAACCACAAGAAATTGCTGATATTCAAATCATTTTGATCTATTAAAAATGAAAGTTATTGCCAGGCACAGTGGTACATGCCTATAATCCCAACAACTTGGGACACCAAGGTAGGAGGATCACAAGTTCAAGGCCAACCTCAGCAATTTAGTGAGACTCTGTCTCAAAAAATAAAAAGGCTGGGAATGTGGCTCAGTAATAGAGAACTCCTGGGTTTAATCCCCAACACCACAAAACAAACAAAAACATCTATCATGGTTTAATAACACATACCTGTTATAGATGTATACATTCCAAAATTTTTTGCACTGGAGATTGAACCCAGGGGTGCTTTACAACTGAACTACATCCCAAACCCTTTTTATTATTTTTTTTTATTTTTTAAAAAAATATTTATTCTTAAGTTTTAGGTGGACACAATATCTTTATTTTACATTTATGTGGTGCTGAGGATCGAACCTGGTGTCCTGTGCATGGTAAGCGAGCACTCTACCACTGAGCCACAACCCCAGCCCCCCCTTTTTATTTTTTACGACAGGGTCTTCCTAAGTTGCTGAGACTGGCCTAGAACTTGGGATCCTGCTGCCCCAGCCTTTTGAGTCACTGGAATTACTAGTATCACTGCACCTGATCCAAGTTTGACCTTTGGCCAGTATAGTCCTCCCTACTGCTACCCACTTACTGGTAACCCCAAAACTTATTTCTGTATCCCAGAATGGGGGACATTAAAATATTTAATTAATTTGAATTCATATGTCAGTCTGTTAGGACTGCTATAACAAAATTAGCATAAACTAAGATGGCTTATAAATCGTAAACATTTCTCACAGCTGTGGAAGCTAGTACATCTAGATCCAGCTACCAGCAGATTCAGCCTCTGGTGCAGGCCTGATTTCTGGTTCTTAGCCCTTCACATGATGGAAGGGGAACAAGCTCTTTTATAAAAACATTAATTCCATTCATTATCTGATCGCCTCCTAAAGACCTCCCTCTCGACACCATCTCCTTGTGGTTTAGAATTTGGGTAGAATTTGGGGGAAACACAACATTCAAACCATAGCATCATGAAACTAGCATACATTTAAATGGTCCTGAAGTGTATTCAGTGGAAAAGCAAGTTCTCCTGTCCTCCAGCCACCAGTTTCCTTCCCAAAGACAACTCTGAGGGTCTTGTGTTCCTTCAGAGGAACTTGGTACATGTATGAGCAGTGTACACACGTGTGTCTATTTACAAAAATGGGTAGAGGAAGTAGTAGTGTAATATGCACTGTTTCTACCCTTGCTTTTTAAATTTAGCAATCTAGCAAGAAGTGTTCAGCTATTTATTTTTACTGACTCCTTAATGTTCCGTTGCATGTGGGTATCATTACTTATACAGCCAGTGCCCTGTTGCTGACATTAATATTGTTCCCCATCTTTTGCTGTGTCAGTCCTGTAGTAAATAGCCTTAACACATGTAATTTTGCAAATGAGCGCCTGTGGGATAAATTCATAGCATTGGTATTGCTGAGTCAAGGGGTATGTACCTCTATGCATGCTAGGCAAGTGCTCTACAACTGAGCTATCACCAACCTGAGATTTTTTTTTTTTTTTACAATTTGTTACCTGGAACAGTCAAAACCTTCTGGAATTTTAGACTGTAGAAGGTATGACAGTGACCTCTGGTTGCAAGTCATTAAGAATCCCCTGTTTTAGCCAAGTAGTGGTGCATGCCTGTCATCTCAGTAACTTGAGAAGCTGAGGCAGGAGGATCACAAGTTCAAAGCCAGTTTCAGCAATTTAGTGAGCCCCTAGGCAACTTAGTGAGACCCTGTCTCAAGATGAACATGAAAAGGGCTGGAGTGTAGCTCAGTGGTGGAGTACTTGCCTAGTACACACTAGGCCCTGTCTTCTATCCCCAGAAATGAAGAAGAAGAAGAAAAAGAGACTGCCATAAACCAGGCAAGGTGGTTCATGCCTGGTTCACCCCACTGACTCAGAAGACTGAGGCAGGAGGTTCGCAAGTTTGAGGCCAACCTGGGCAACTCAGTGAGACTCCAGTCTCAGGAAAAAAAAAATCCTGCTAACAAAGAAGGAGTTCCCTGCTTTTGCTTTAGCATGTCATTTGCCATATTCTCCTAGATTCTTGTTTCCAAGGCCCATCATTCCAGGCCAGGGCTGGTCATCCCAGGGAGTAGGCAGGGTTTTCCCCAGGCAGTAGT